GATGCCATTGGCACCAAGTACGTGTGCCTGCTGAATGCCACTGATCTGAAGGCCATCAACCCCTCCAGCCTCAAGTGAGTCCCTAGTTGGGGTGTCCTGGGCTTCTTCCAAAAGCCCTTTCCCATCCTGATTGTGTTTGTGGGTGCCCCAGGTGGGAAGGAATGATGAATCTGAGTCTGTGTTCTCAGAAGGCTCATTTATTATTTTATGATACCATCACATATTAAAGAATACTAAACTAAGCTATTCTAAACTATACTAAAGGATACAGACAGAAGGCTAACAAGATAATAATGAAAACTTGTGACTCTTTCTAGAGCCCTGACACAGCTTGGCCCTGATTGCCCAATGAGTCAAAAGAATTCACATGAAACCAACGAAACACTCTCCAACCACATTCCAAAACAGCAAAACACAGGAGAAGCAAATCAGATAATTATTGTTTTCCCTTTTCCTCTGAGGCTTCCCAGCAGAGAAATCCTGGGTGAAGGGATTTTCCCAAGAAATTTGAATACCTCACGTCCTTTTCCTTTTTCTGCTCTCAAGGAAAGGGAATTTAGGGAGCACCTTAGAACCTGCCAGGCAGGGCTCAGATTCCCAATGCAACTCTCTTTATTTCAGTCCAGCAGGCTGCAAATCTGACTCTATGCTTGCTTTCATCTGCAGAAGAGTTAATTAAATTGAATTTTATAGAATTACTGAGTCCTTAAGATTGGGAAAGGCCTCTCAGATCGTCACCCAGCACCGTGATCACCACTAAACTATCAAGTGCCACATCCTTGTGGTTTTTAAGCATTTCCAGTTTGAACTCCTCTGAAAGACTCAATGAAATGAAATGAAATTAATTAATTACCACTTGGCAAACACAAAGATTTATTGGGCGCCATCAGAGCCATCATCACCTGAAGGACAAATTCTCAGCAGGAAATGGGACCATTGTTTTTCCTCTCAGCTTCTCTCCATAGAGCTGGGAATTGGGGATCACCTGCAGAGAAGCCCAGAAAAACACTCAGAATATGCAAAAATTGAACAGGTTGAAGATGATAATAAAAGCTTTTTTCACCCTAAGTCTTTATTTTTCTGCAGACTGGTGTCTCTGAATCCTTCAGCCTGTTCCCAGGAGACAAAGAATATCTTGTACCAGAAAGCCAAAGAAGCTTTCTCTGACCAGCACCATTCACCTGCTTACTATGAGCTGATTTTGCCTTACCTGGGTATGTAAAAATCCAGGATGCTGTGGGGAAGGAGAACTCTTAGCCACAAACTAAATGGGTATCAAAATCCATCAAAGATTTGGGAATTTTCAAAGTCAAGTTGTTAAAAGTTTGTCTTTCCATGTTGTAGATAGCATAAAATATTCTGTGCCTGCTTTAAGCTGCCCAAATCTGTTTTCAGACCATCACAGGGAAAATCAAACTCAGGATAATCAAACTCAGGATTTATCTCAAAGCCCTTTTCCATGTCACAATTTTTTTTTTCCCTGTTAAGCCAAGAATTTTTCCAAATTCTCCTCATCCTTCTTTCCCCTGTTTGGCATCACCACAGATTTTTAATGCCCAACAAAATAACTCCCAATAAAAAAGGGGAGGAGCATCCCTATGTTTTGCAGCTGGGTCTGAGTGTGTTATCAGCCCAGCCTAATGGGGTTTGGAGAAATCCTCATTTTGTGCAGTGCTCCTTTGGGGTGTGCCCTCCTTTGATGCTCTCCTTGCTTTGCTGCAGGGGGGGCTCCTGCTGCAGATCTGAAGGTTCTCAGCAAGGACGACGTGAACATGAACGTGAGCACCTTTGTGAACTTGAGGAGAGACTCCCTGATGGTGAGCTGGGCCTTGGAGCTCTTTAATTCCCTGCATTGTGTTGTGTTCTGTGCTTGGGTTTGGTCGTGCTGTCCATTGGTGGATTCGATCAAATCCAAATTCCATCAAATCCAAAATTTCTTCTGTTACACCAGTAGAAAGTAGGGAAAGGGCCTGAAATTCCTTACAAAATAGAATTTGGAGTCCTGGATGGATGCAAAGGCAGCTGAATTTCCTCAGGGCAGGCCCTCACAGTGGCAGGGGACAGGCCATGAGCCCACAGACAAGGCAATGGCACCAGTTTGGGCAGAAATCCCGGTGATTTTGGCAGGGATGGGACCCCCAGCTGAGTGCAGGAGATTTTTCTTCTTCCCATGGAAGCCCCATCATTTCCAGGGGGGTTCTTTCCATCCCAGCCTTCCCACCCTGTCACATATAGGTAAAAACCTTATTAAACTAAACCTTATAAAATTAAACCTTATTTTATTTATCTATTAAACAGTATATATTATAATTATTTTATATATAATACATATCAAATATTACATATTTTCTAGCTATATTATATTTTATTTTATTATTTATATTTTATTCTTCATTATTTTTAATTATTTATATTATATATATTTTTTTTTTTTATAGTATATATTATTTACTATTCATCAATTATAAAATTAATATATAAATTAATATATACTCTTTTTTACATAGTGGAAGAAGTTCTTGGTTTATTTTTAAATAAATATTTGTATTTATTTCCAAACATTTCCTACTTATTAAATATTTGATATTAAATATTAAATTTTTTTATAAATCAACTCATATAGAATTATTTAATATAATAATATATAATTTATTATATCTAATTATATATTGTTTATTATAATTTATTATCTATTATAAGAAATAATTAATATATATTACTATAAGAATGTTATATAATAAATGATATAAACAATATATTATATAATTTAGTAATTTATTATTTAATATCATTTAACATTAATATTCAATTAATATTTAATAGTATAGCAATATTAATATAAACATATACTTATATAAGTATAATTATTTATTATTAATTTTTATTTTTATATTGTTTGTTTCTGTATTATTCATGTATAATAGACATTAAATATTACATATAAAATAATTTTATCTCTTCTTTATCAAGTAATTTTTTTAAAATCTCATTTCTGTCTCTAACACGAGCTCCATCAGCACAATCCTAACCCTGCTGTGTGTTTGTTTCCCCAGCTGCTGACGCCCGGGGAGGTGCAGGGGCTGCTGGGGGTGCACCTCCCTGGGCTGGCGCAGTGGCAGAGCAGGGCCCCGGTGCGGGACTGGGCGGCGCTGCAGAAACAGTCGGAGCTGGACGAGCTCCACATCGGCCTCACGGGGGGCGTGCAGGAGGGGTACATCAACCTGATCACCCCCAAATTCCCAGGTGGGTTTGGGGCCCTGCTGGTCGGGGTTTCACGGTTCTCTTGGGGTTGGACGGACATGTGTGTGCTAAGGAAGGCAGGAGCCTCCCCTGAAATGGAAAATGTAAAATTGCCCCCTCTGAATTGCTATAAATTTGAAATTAAGGGGCTCTCAGGCAAAGATATGGGAGCAGGAATAACAGGTCTTTAATAGGGAAGAAGATAAAAAGATAAAATAAACAATGCAGTAAACTAAAAGGACACTGCCAGCTTCAGTCACTGATTTCTGTGCTCTGACGTCCTCTCTGTCCTCCAGCAATGTCCTCAGCCCCTCTGGGCACCGTGGCCATGGTGTTCCACCTCCTGCCTGCTCTGCTGCTCAGCTTCCTCACGGTGTCCATCCTCTCTTGACCGTCTCCTCCACGAGGGACCAGCCTGTGACCTGCTCTGAGACCTGGCCTGAGGAGTGCCCAGAGCTCCAGGCAGCTGGGGTCAGCCCAGGACTCACTTTTAGGTACTTTTGGCTTTCAAATCACTTGGAAAAACCCCAGTTGTGTCTGAAGGGAAGATCCCAGACTCTTTGGTGCAGGATCTTTTCCTTTGGGACAGCCCAAGCCCAGCTCAGCCCCAAACCACTGCTAAAGCCCATCTTACTGCTGGCTTTAAGGGTGAGTCCTGCAGGTTAAAAATGACATTTCCCGGAGCCTGACCTCGTGACACTGCCAAGACCTCGGGGTGGGAGTGAAGTTTGCCAGCTGCTTGTAAATAAATCCTGGAACTGAGTAAAAATGCCAGAAGCAAACTGCTGAGTGTCTGCTCTTCCTTGGGGCTGCCCTCACCCTCCTGACTGCAGGAATCCCCCCAAATGAAGGCTCAGAATCCCAGGATCTGCCTGTTCTGTTCCTTGGGGTTGGCTGTTCAATGTTTAGGAGCTGAGACTGTTCTCAGCTTCATCATCTGGAGGAAAAGTTTTTGCCCAAGGTTTTCCATATTTTTTCATCACTCGTTGGAAATATCTGTCAAAAAAAAAACCCTCCATGAAACCTGTATCCAGCTCCTGACATCCCCCTTTCCTCCAGGAGGAGAGTCTGGGAGGGAAAAAGGGATTTATATATTTGACATCTTATAAATCTTCACTGTCTGAGCTTTCTAGAGGGGGAGCAGGTCTGTTCTTCACTGCAGATTTTGGATTTATGCTGGAAAAGGTTCCCCACAAAGCACTAAATGCCTCAAAGGACACATTAGATTAGGAAAAACCAGATTGATGTTTTATTGTATAGCACTGAACAGTAATCAAGATAAATTATCTCCAGTTAATCATCCCAGAAGAGTCTGTGTGTGGTTTGAGCAAACCTTGATCAAAAAGCAGCTTGTGAGAAAAGTTAAATAAGATTTTTGGGGATCTCTCAGCTGTGGTGCAGGGCCACCAGTGACTCAATCCCTGAGTTTTCCCACTGTTTAACAGATCCAGTGGGGTGGGATGGACAGGAAATCCCTGCAGGAGCTGGGCCCGGTGCTCTTGCCTTGGCAGAGCAGTCAACAGCACTGCTGGTTCTACTACAGGGAGTAAATCTCTAGTAAGGACCTGTGGAGCTTCTCTGGGCTGGAAAATTCTGTCCTCCTTCACTGGCCAGCCTCAAAAACAACCAAGTCCTGTGCTGGCATCAAACGGGGATGAATTCTTTTCCTTTTCCTGGTCCAGCTGTCCAGCAAGGATTGCCCAGTGCAGTTCCACTGGGATGGAGGGAGGGGTGTGCAGGGTGGGGGTGCTGAGGGGGGCTCAGAGCAGCCCCCCCAGCAGAACACTCCCCATGGCGGCTGCCAGCAGGAGAGCGAGGCAGGAGCAGAGCCTGGATCCTGATCCCGATCCTGATCCCGATCCCGATCCCGATCCTGCAGGGAGAGCACAGGGAATGGGATTCTCCAGCTGCCCAGGGAGGGCTGTGGGCTCAGCAGCTGATGGGACACCTTGAAGTGCGCCTGAGAACCCGAGGGCAGCCCCAGGGCCACGTCCCCAGCTGTCCCCCAGCACTGGATCCCCCCAGGAATGAGGGGGACCAGGCAGCTTTGTCCTCCCCAGCATTCCCAAGCCTCTCCCCCATTCCCAGCTCACCAGGCTCAGGGTGCAGGTTGATGTGGCCGTTGGAGGTTGGCTGTGCTGGCTCTGGAACGCTCCCAGGGGTGGGTTTGGGGCTGGGGCCAGGCCTGGGAGGGGAGCTGGGCTGGCACGGCACAGCCGGGGAGGAGCTGGGGCTTGTTTGGGGGGGAATGGTGGAACTGGGAATCGGGGCGGGGGTGGCAGTGGGGACAGAGGAGGGGTGAGGAGCTGGGGTGGCAGTGTGAGGAGATGTAGGATTGGGGACAGTGGTGACAGTGCTGTGGGTGGCAGTGGGAGCAGAGGAGGAGTGAGGGACAGGGGGGGCAGTGTGAGCACAGGAGGGTTTGGGAGTGGGAGCAGAGGTGGGATTGGGGACAGTGGTGACGGTGCTGTGGGTGGCAGTGGGAGCAGAGGTGGGATTGGGGACAGTGGTGACAGTGCTGTGGGTGGCAGTGGGAGCAGAGGTGGGATTGGGGACAGTGGTGACGGTGCTGTGGGTGGCAGTGGGAGCAGAAGAGGGATTAGGGACAGTGGTGACAGTGCTGTGGGTGGCAGTGGGAGCAGAAGAGGGGTTAGGGACAGTGGTGACAGTGCTGTGGGTGGCAGTGGGAGCAGAGGTGGGATTGGGGACAGTGGTGACAGTGCTGTGGGTGGCAGTGGGAGCAGAGGTGGGATTGGGGACAGTGGTGACAGTGCTGTGGGTGGCAGTGGGAGCAGAGGTGGGATTGGGGACAGTGGTGACGGTGCTGTGGGTGGCAGTGGGAGCAGAGGTGGGATTGGGGACAGTGGTGACGGTGCTGTGGGTGGCAGTGGGAGCAGAGGTGGGATTGGGGACAGTGGTGACGGTGCTGTGGGTGGCAGTGGGAGCAGAGGTGGGATTGGGGACAGTGGTGACGGTGCTGTGGGTGGCAGTGGGAGCAGAAGAGGGGTTAGGGACAGTGGTGACAGTGCTGTGGGTGGCAGTGGGAGCAGAGGTGGGATTGGGGACAGTGGTGACAGTGCTGTGGGTGGCAGTGGGAGCAGAGGTGGGATTGGGGACAGTGGTGACAGTGCTGTGGGTGGCAGTGGGAGCAGAGGTGGGATTGGGGACAGTGGTGACGGTGCTGTGGGTGGCAGTGGGAGCAGAAGAGGGGTTAGGGACAGTGGTGACAGTGCTGTGGGTGGTACCAGCCGGGTTAGTGCCAGCACTGGTGCTGGTGGTGGCCCTGGAGGTGACAGCAGGGCCTGGGGTGGCACTGGGGCTGCTGGTGGCCAGGAGGGTGCTGAGCAGGGTGACAGCAGGGGAGGTGGCTCTGTCTGTGGTGGGGGCCTGGTGGGTGGAGCAGGGAGCTGCACTGGTCACAGCAGGAGGGACAGAGGGGGTGGCAGTGGGGACAGGGGGGACAGTGGGACCCATAGTGCGTGGGGGGGTGCCTGGGGGTGTTGGGCTCGGAGTGCTCGGGGTGGGGGTCCTGGGGGGGACCGTGCTCAGCTGAGGGGTTGATTGGCTGCTAAGGGCAGTGGTGGTGGGGACAGTGGCCATGGAGGTGACACTGGGTGGGGTGGTGGGCACAGGGGGGGTGACAGTGGCTGTGGAGGTGACACTGGCTGAGGTGGTGGGCACAGAGGTGGTGACAGTGGCCGTGGAGGTGACACTGGCTGGGGTGGTGACAGTGGCTGTGGAGGTGACACTGGCTGGGGTGGTGACAGTGGCCGTGGAGGTGGCAGCAGGGCTGGCTGTCCCCGTGGGCTCGGGCCGCCCTCCCTGCAGGCCGATGTCCAGCACACAGTCCAGCTCCTGCTGGGATTGCTGCTGCACCCAGCTCACCACCACGGGCTCGTGCTCGTGATCCTTCAGCCCAGGGAGGTTTTCCCCCAGCAAATGTTTCACGTCGGTGACGCTGAGTTTCTGCAACACACACACAGAGCATCCCCTTCCCTCACCCTCGCAGCCCCAGACACTTTGCTAAAGGGGCTGCAGAGCAACTGAAACTTCCTAAAGGAAATTAATAAAGGTGAGGAAGTGGAGAATTGGTGATTTGGTTGGGCTACGTCCTCAGCCAGCCCTGCCCTTCCCTGGGCTGTACCTGCAGTTCCTTAGGATTTAGGGTGAGGAAGGTGGTCAGATCCATGTTTATGGCCACACCAGCATTAGCCAAATCCTTCAGATCTTCTGCTGGAGCTCCACCTTAAAGAGAGCCCAAGGAACACCTGGAGATGTGCAAACCCTTCCAGCACTTCTGGGGAGGATTTGGGGAGGTTCTGGAGGCTGCCAGACCTGTCTGAGGCTGAGAAGAGACCCTGAACCCGATGTTGGGAGGGAGGGTGAGGGGAAACACCTACCCAGGTATGGCTGGATCTGGCAGTAATAGGAGCCAGAGGTGCTGGCCAGGCTGGCAAAGGCCTCACGAGCCTTCCTATAGAGCAGATCCTTCTTGGTTTGGGAACATGAAGAGATGTCCAACTGCCCAGCAGTCCTGGAAGGGGGGCACAGGTCAGCCCTGATGCCTTCAGTTTGAACTTTCCCAGATTCTGGAAGGCACTGGTATATAATAACTCTGAACTCCACAGAAAGTGTCAGCAGCTCTCCTCACAGCTCAGGCACACAGAACAATCCTTGTCCAGCCCCAGAACCAAGGACACCGCTGCAGCTCCAGCCCAAAAAGTGCAACCAACAGGGAATGGAGGAGAGCAGTCTGGGAGGGTGGGACTGCACAACCTGAGCTGGAATTGGACAATGAACCCCAATATGGAAATGGACCAAAACTTATAAAAGTGTGAAAACTCCTGACCCGTTGTCCATCTTGGGTGTAGCCACAGCCAGGCCCTTGCACTGCCCAAGGTGGATCCTTTGAAGCTTTTTAATAAATCCCTGCTTATTCCTTTAGCTCTGCCCAGCCTCTGCTCCAGGCAGCCTCTCAAGGTGTTAGCAGCACCCCAAATTACAGATTAATTGTTCTGGTGGCTGTGAGGGACAAGGGGGATATCCCTGCTCATGGTCCTGGAGCTCAGGTAGGATCTGGGATTGGGACAGGGCCATCCCACTGTGCTGGTTGGGAGTGGGGACATCCACAACAGAGCTGGGGCTCTTCCATCCCACCTCCCCAGAGCCCAGGGCCTCTGAGGGCTGAGCAGCAGCCCCAAGAAGCGGCTCACCCGATGGCTGCAGCAGGGATCTGCTGGATCTGCCCCTCCTGCAGGTTGCACAGGCGGCTGCCTCCGATCTCCTGGAGCAGGGGCCCCGTCAAGGAGCCCCCCAGGGCCAGGTACCTGCTGAGCAGCTGCTGCACCTGAGGGACACAGGGCACGTGGGGGGCACAGGCAGGGATGGGAGATGCTCCTGGGAAGGATGGCAGTGCTGCCAACCCCCCAAAACCCCACAATGCCTCCACCCCGAGCTGGGCTGGGACAGGGGCAGTCCCAGTTTGGGTTCCTCACCATCCATCCTCTTCTGCTGCCATGGGTTTACCTGGGAATCGCTCCAAGGTCCTTCTGAGTCGCTGAGCAGGGCTGAGAGGGTCTCACTGGATGTCACCTTCCACTGGCTGATCTCCTCCTCCGTGTACAGGCGGGACAGCATCCCCAGGTGCCTCAGCTTCTCCTCTGGGATCACTGACCCCTGGAAAAACTGTGGGGCCCAGCCCACAGGGCAGGGAAGAGGGAAAATAGGGCAGGAATGAGTGCAAAGGACCCACTTGGGCACCTTCATCCCTGTGCCCACTGAACCCTGTGCCCTGCCCATCCCGGCTTGGCCCGTGCTGCTGGGGAGCTCCTGCCCTGTGCCACCCCTTACCTCATCCAGCTTTTTTTTCAGGACCAAGTAAGCCTGTGAGGTGAGTAGCAGATCCTGCACAGCCTCCAGGTTTTCTACTAACACATCATTGCTCAGGCACAAGTCCAGGTCCTCAGGCAGGAGGAAGGCGATGTCATCGATGTTGCTGGCAGTGATGGGCTCAGACTGGCAGCCTGAGGGCAAGGAATTGGTCAGGCAGAAGGTGTGTGTCCCCTGTGTGCCCTTCCCACCTGGCCCTCAGAGCCCTGCTGAAGGACAGGGAATCACAAAAACGTGGCTCAAGCCATGGTGGACCCTGTTCCCATCCCCTGGTTCCCAATCCACAGAGGTCCTCATTTGCTGTCATTCCAGAAGAACCTGGTGATGTTTCGCAGCCCTCTTGTGCTTAGTCCTGTTAAAATCAGCTCAACTGCTCCATATCCCCTACAAGAACATCGTCTGCTCCTGCAGCATCCTGCCCTGGGGACTGTCCCAGCTCCTTCCTGAGCGCTGCCACCACATCCCTGCTCCCAGGTAAGAGCAAGACCCCACCTTGTGCTTCAAGGACATTTCCCCACTTCCCCCGTTTGTGGGAATCCCAGATTTCTGCCTGGTCCAGCCGGGAGCTCCCAGACCCTACCAGCCCCGGGCATTGTCCCCTCCCCGAGCCCCGGCCTGGCCGGAGGGGAGGGAAACACTCACGGTCGGTGCTGCGCTGCAGCCGGGGCTGGGAGGCGGCTGAGGCTGCTGCGAGCGCCCTGAGGAGCAGCAGGGATTCCTCCCGCTGGGAACGGCCCTGGCTGATGTAGGCGGCAGCGATGCTCGTCCTGAAACCCTCCCGAGCTGCCTGCGGGGACACGGGGTGCTGGGACCGGGGGGACGGGGACAGAGGGTGCTGGGACCGGGGGGACGGGGACAGAGGGGTTCTAGGAGCGAGGTACAAGGACAGAGGGGTTCTAGGACTGGAGAGCACAGGGACAGAGCGAATCTAGGACTGGAGAGCACAGGAGCTCGAGTCTCCCAGCCTCGGAGCTGACCTGCCTGATGGCAATCTCCCCCCGAGGAGGGAGGGACCTTACCTCGGCCACCAAACTCAGCGTGGTCCGGTTCAACGCCAGCACGAGCGGCCCCAGGTCTTGCAGAGTCTGTAAATCCCAGCCTGAGGGATCCCTGCGGCAGCAGGAGCAGGACCAGCTCAGCATCCCATGGATCCCCACCCCTCCTGTTCACCGCCCATCCTCCAGGAGCAGGAAGGCTCCTCACCCGTACGCGGTGTTCCCCGACAGGAGCAGGGCATTGAGGGCATCCTGCTGTGCCTCTGTCAGCGCCGGGCACAGCTTCAGCTTCTCCAGGATGTTGGGGTCCGAGGCCAGGATGGTGCCCGGCTCCAGGTCACACACCAGCACCCCGAGGCTGTGGGATGTCATGAAAACGTCCCCTAAAATCAGTGCCAAGGTGCTGCCATCCCCACGGCCGGGTGGGTGCCCCCATATCCCGGGGTTTGGGTGGGGGATAAAACAGCAGCGCCCGGGATTCAGCCGGGCGAGGCTCCCGAGGCAGCCGCGGGGAGGAAGGAGAATCCTCGGTGCGTTTGTGTTTCTGCAGGAGCCCAGCCCGCTGGAATCCCAGCACGGAACCGGCTGCACAGGGCTGTAAATCCTCCCTGCCCCGGCACAGCAGCAGATGTGGGATAAACGCAAATTCACCCCAACAGACCCCCGGGGACCCCCCGAGCCCCCGCCGGGCTGGCACTTACTGGGGATGCTCAGCGTTGGACAGGACGGCTCCAACAATCAGGGCAGCCTGCAGAGAGGATGAGGGATGCTCAGGCCCGGTAAGGAAAGGGAAGAAGGGATCTGAGATGCAGGGAATGGGATCTGACCCGGCTGGAGCACCCAGACTGCTGCCCGTGGGAGCAGCAACTCCATGGGAGCACCCTCTGGGTGACGTGTGGGGACAAAACCCATCAAAGCCACTCTGAGCAGCGGGGACACTCGGGTGAGTCTGTCCCTGCTTGCCTGGAGCTGGGTTTGGGAGCAGGGCACGGAGGGGAGGGATGGGACAAGGACAGGGCCACGCTGTGCACAGGGGGACAGCAGGGAGGTGGTGGCTGTGCCACCCTGGAACTGAGCACTGCAGGAATGGTGGCACCTCCAGAGCCAGCTGGGGGATTTTGGGGAAGCCCTGGCACGGTGGGAGCCAGCAGAACTGGCAGGGACTCACCGCTGTGGCTTTCACCGGGTCTGTGGAGATGCCTACAAGGAAGCAGGAGCAGGTTAGGAAACATCCCTGGAGTATGAACAGCTCATCCGGGCTGCTCCAAGCAGCTCCGGGGTTGAAGTCTGGGAAGAGCCTTGCCTTTGCTAATTTCATGTTTAGGAAATGCTGTGGATCTCTATGAAGGGAGCAGCCCCCAGCCTGAGAACCCCCAGCTCCCTCCCTCCACCCTCCAGGAGCGTGTGGAAGACAAAAAGGGATAAATTCATCCCTGGAAATCCGGGAAGATGTCCCTGGGAAAAGCCTGTGGATGCTGAGGGGAGCAGGAGGCAGAGCCCTGGAGGGCTGAACCGAGCAGGACTGGGATGAGGAGCAGCACAGCTGGAGCATCCCTGGTGTCCCGGGGCAGTTTTTGGGGACAGGATGGGACTCACGGAGGCAGAGGGTGACGGCTGCCAGGGCTGGGGCTGCCCACACCATGGTGCTGCTGCCAGGGTTCGTCCTTGAAGCGGGTCTGGAGAGCCGTGTACCACACTTGGAATGGCTGGAGGTCCTGGGGCTGCTTCTGTCACCTGGGGCAGGAGCTGTTCCACACTGGGGGTCAGAGCTTGGGGACAGCACTGCAGGTCCTCGAGCTGATTCTGTCACCCAGCACTGGGGCTGGAGCTATGGGGTCAGGGGTCTCACTGTGCCCACCCCATCCCTGTGCTGCTGCACAGACCCCCAACGACCACAGGTGAGATTTTAAATCCCACATAACAGAAAACAGCACTTTTCCCACCCGTTGGTAAAGAAACTCCACGATTGTCCTGCAGGGACAGGGTCCCCCTCCATCCCCCTGCTCCTCACCAGCACAGACTGGGGAAATCCAGTGTAAGGCAGTGGGGGAGCCCAGCAGGTGTTCCCCACCCCTCAGGGGGATCCCCTGATAGAAAATCAATCCTTTCTCCTCAAATTCCCCCAGGGCTGCCCACAGCAATCCGTTATCACCGTTTGAACTCAACGCAAGGAATTTTCCCCCCTAAATCTCATTTTTCCCCCCCAAATCTCATTTTTCCCCCCGAAATCCTACCGTGGCTGTGTCGAGCAGTTCTCCCCCTCGTCCAGGGGAATTTGGCTCCGGGATGGGAGGATTCCCCAGGAAGGTGCTGGTGGGGCTGGGGCAGGGGCTGGGCAGCGCTCGGCACTTTATCTGTGCGGGGTGGGGATGTTGCTCCGCACACGGGGTGTGACGGGGCAGTTTCTCAACTCTGTTTTGTCAGGCTCCTTTCCTTCTCCCTGCTGTTGATTTGGGGCTGTTTCCGACTTCTCATAAAGGGTCACTGAGCTCTGGGTTCAGCTGAACCGAAAGTGAACCCAGAAGGAGTTAAAGCCTCCGGTTTGGGAGTTTCTGTGCTCCTGAGGGGGATTAAGGTGCTCCAGGTGAGGGGAAAACCTGTAGAGCTGCTCAGGGGTTGTTTTATAGGGTGCAGAACAGACTGAGCCCAGTGATGGGCTCAGCACCCTCTGGGAGGTGTCTCCCCTCTCCTTTTTCCCTGGATCACAGCCAATCCCATTCCCTTTTTTACAGCTCTTCCCCCCAATCATGCTCCAAAATGCTGTCGAGCGCCTGTCATGAAGGGGACCATGACCAAAGGAATCAAATCCTTCCCGTGGCTCTGAGATGACAACCTGGAGGAGCTGCGGGCACAAACTTTATCTGAGCTTTTATCTTGGGCAAAGGGAAGGGTGGCTGGGCTGGAGCTGGGCTGCACCCCCCTCTCAGCCAGGTTTGGGGGTCCCAGCCCTCACCAAGGGTCCCTGGAGCTGCTGGCAGTGTCAAGAGGGGTTTGTCACCCCCAGCCCTGTCCTGTCCCCAGCCCCGTCCCCCAACCGGTCCTGCAGCCCCAGGGCTGGGTCGACGCCCATGGGTGTTGCTCGTTTCTATTTTGGAAGGATTTACTGTGGAAATAGCTCCTGTTGGGACAGTAAAATTACAGAATGCTATGAGGCTGCTGGAGGGACACGGCCCCTGCCTCGGGCTGGCTGAACAGAGGTGGCTGGAGCAGGAGGGCAGGGACACATCAGGGCCACTCTGCGGGTCACCGCGTCCACTGTGTCCCTGTGGAGATCAAAGCTGGCCCTGAAACCCCCTCGGGAGCTGCCACTGGAGGATCCACCCAGAACTCGAACATGTGGAGGAACATTGCCCCAGGCTGTTCCTGGGGACATTGCCAGGTCAGCTGTGAGCTCTGACTGCAGGTCCCTGTGCCAGGAGGGCTGGGAATGCTCCCCTCCCTTAACCAGTGGCCCTCTGCCCACATCTGGTTCGTAATCTTCAAAAGAATCTCCGTCTTAGAGACTGCAATAATTCCTTGGGTCTTCAATAGGTTTTTACTGCGGTCCAACCTGAGGGATGAGTGTCCCTCACACAGCAATCCTCTAAAATTTCATCCTCCCTCACACAACAATCCTGCAGCTCACACAACACTCCTCTCCCTCACACAACAATCCTCTCACACAACACTCCTGCAGCTAACACAACAACCCTTTCACACACAACAATCCTTTCCCACAACAATCTTCCCCCACACAACAATCCTCACACTCAATACTCCCTCATACAACAATCCTCTCACGCTCAATCCTCCCTCACAATCCGGCCCCTCACACAACAATCCTCTCACATGACAATCCTGTCCCTCACCAATAATCCTCTCACACTCAATCCTGCCTCACACTCAATCCTCCCTCACACAACAGGTCGGCCGGGCCGGGTCCTGGGGCCGCTCCCGCGGGGCCGGTCCGACCTCATTCCCCTCATTCCTGGAAGCCCCCGGGATATGGATGCAGAGAGCGGACAGTGAAGGGCAGAAGACACGTTTAATACAGCAAATACACCAAAACTGGAACTGCGGAGTGCACGGGACATCACAGCCACGCCACAACCCCAGGGCACCGGAGGAGCCGCAGCCCCGCGGGCAGGAGGGGACAAGACGGGGACATTGCCCTGGAACGCAGCCGGGAAGGACGCCTGGAAAACTCTGCGGGTAAGGAAAATTCCCTTTTATCTGTGGCGCTGGGGAGAAGCAGCGCGCAAAGGCTGGGTTGGGTGTGAGGGCTCCTCCACACAAACACGGCGGGCTCGGGTGCCAGCCACGTCCCCATGTTCCCACCCCTCATCCCGGCCATGTTCCCGGCAGGAACCGCTCCCAGCGCGGGCAAGGCTGGGCCCCCCCTGTGACACGTGAATCCTCGCTGTCACTCTCCAGCACCTCCCCTGCGCGTCACCCCTCGAATCTTTGGCAAACAGGTTCCTTGTGTTCCTTCCCGGCCGCGGGACCTGCCCGGCCCTTCCCGGCCACGGGGCCTGGCAGGAAGGACACTGGGCTCCTGCTCCTCCTGCCCCCCCGAGCCCCTGGCAGCGGCCCTGAGCCCACCGTGCCCGCTCAGTGCCCAGGGCTGGCACCTCAGGCCATCCCCGCCCTGCAGTGGTAGCACTAAGCCACATCGTGAAGGGACACATGGGACAAGTGATCCAATTCCCACCCCCCTGGATAAACACACCTTGTGGTGTGTTTATCCACAAGGAGAGGGCTGTGACTTTTTTTCCCCCTCGGGGTGGGAATATCAGGGAACCCCATCATGTGTGTTTTCAACGGGATGGGGCTGGTGAGGTGACAACTCTGGGTGTGTGCTGAAGTGGTGCTTGAAAGCCCTGGGATGGGGCTGTGTGGCTCCAGCTGTCCCTCTCCAGTTGTCCTGTTCTCCTCATTTCCGAATGTCCCGCAAGGGCTGCAGAGGATGAGCAGGGAAGGGGAAAGCAAAGCAGGATGACCAGCAAAGCAAGAGCACTTACGAGGAAATTTCTTGGCATCTGTCAAAGCTGAGCTCCTGCCTGCTCTTCCCATCAGTTCTCAGCTTTTTAATTTCACCTTTGTTCTTTTCCTACTGTTTCAGAGCTTTCCCAAACTGCCCAGCTGAAGGACCTGCCTGCAGGACCCTCTGGAAACCTGCCAGGCAGGAACCACCCCATGGGACCTACACAGGACACTGGTCCCTCCTCAGGTGGGTGAGCAGAAAGGGACTTGTGTCCTCTGACCTGAAGCAGGGATAAAAGCAGGAAAGGCAGTGCTAGAAGAAGGAATAATAAAATCCATTAAAAAAGCTTTGGGCTGCTGGCTCTCCGACCACAGAAGTACTAAAAATACCTCATTCCTGAGACCACCCGTATTTTACAAACCCTAAAAGACTAGATTCTCTTCCTAGAAAATTGAAAAAAGTTTAAAATCCATTGGTATCAACTCCTTCGCCTTCACCAAACCTTTAAAAACCGCCCAGGTGGGCTGAGGGAGGGAGGGGGCAAGAGGCAGGGACCTTTCCATGCCCATCCCAGTCCAGTTTCACAGGACACCCTGGGACTGGGGGACTCTCGGTGTCCCCAGAATGTGCTCCAGCTGGAGTGAGGGAATGGGAATGGAGGACGGGTACACTGGAGCTGCACCCAGCACCTTCTCCCCTCCCTGTGCTGGGCTGCAATTCTGCATCCAAGCATGGAGAGGCTGTGGGAATGTCCATGGCAAAGGCAGTGCCCAGCTGTGCCCGAGCCCCAGGACACGGATGGAAAGCTTTGGGGTCATTTTAAGCTGGAGCGTGACACACTCTGCTGCTGAGGCCCAGAATTGGGAAAGGGACATCCCATGACCAGACAGATGATGGGCATTACAAAATAACCCCACCTCAACCCCTCCTAAAATCCACCCGATGCCAGCCCCAGGAGCAAGGGAAGCCACAGAGGGAGTGCAGGTGTGCAGGCAGCGCCGGGCTCCGTGGGGACCCGCTGGGACAAGGCTGGAGCTGGAGATGCAGGGAGGTGCTTTGTGCTCACTCCAGAGCCCACTCAGCCAGCCTCTGCTCACACTGCACCCGCTGCTCCTCTGTCTCCTCCCTGCTGCCTTCCCCCCCTGCTCCCTCCTCTCTGGCAGCTTCCTGGCCCTCCTCCTCCTCCTCCTCCTCCTTGTGTGTCCCCTTGTCCTTGAGCTCCTGGATGACATCCTCCAGCCTCTGGGTGATGTTCTGGGGCACCCAGTTGCTGTCCATGGCGGTGACGAAGGGGTCGGGCGCGCACACCTCGATCAGCTCCTTGCCCGTGGGGATGCGCAGGTAGTAGGCGTGGAGCATCATCCTGTAGGGATTGCTGTCCTGCCGGTGGCTGTAGGTGAAGTCCCCCACGATGGGGTGGCCGATGGCGCTGCAGTGAACCCGGAGCTGGTGAGTCCTCCCTGGGGGGAGAGCAGGAATCAGGGACAGGGAATTCCTGAATGCCTCCTTCAGGGCATGGTGACAATGCACCTAATGGCATTTGTCCCCCTGCTTCCCTCATCCCTTTCCAGATCAGAGCTGCCCCTCTCCCCACCTGTCAGCGGCTGCAGCAGCACTTTGGTGACGGGGTCTCCGCTGTAGGATCCATGTTCCAGCACGATCAGCTCCGACTGGCACGGCTTGGGATTCTCACAGCCTGCAAGGAGAGCCAGAGGGGGTTTGTGATGCCCCAGCACATCCCTGGGGGCATGAGCAGAGAGGGGATGGGGCTGCTCACCCTCTGTGCCCTCGATGCACATCATGTGGGTCATGCCCTCCGTGGTGTTCTTCCCGATGGCGTAGCGGATCGACATCCGGCTCTGGCTCACGTGTCCCCTCACCTGGGGACAGGAACGTGCACACTGAGCCCTGGCACGAGCTCCTCACCCACCCCTCATAGACCATGGAATCACAGAAAGAGTGGGGCTGGAAGAACCCTAAAGCCCATCCATCTCCCCAAGCCCGACTCCTTGTCAGGGGCAAGGATACCTTGTTGCTCTCAGCTCCATCAAAACTGGCCTTGGACACTTCCAGAGATGGGGCAGCCACAGCTTCTCTGGGCACCCTGTGCCAGAATTCCTTCCCGATATCCAACCTAACCCCACCCTCTGGCAGTGGGAAGCATTCCCTGTGTCCTGCCCCACCATGCCCTCATCCAAATCCTCCTCCAGCTCTCTTGGAGCCCCTTTAGGCTCCAACACTGAATCTTTCTCTTCTCCAGCTGAACACACCCAAGTCCCTCAGCTTTCCCTCAGGGCAGAGGTGTTCAGGAACACAGAAGGCCAAGGCAGGGATGGCAGGGAGGGCAGGAGGTGGCAGGGAGGGCTCACCAGGGCCAGGTAGGCTTTGGTCACCAGGCGCTCCTTGAAGCACTTGTAGGCACTTCCCGCCGCCGCTTTGTTGAGTGCCACACACAGAGCCCCGCTGGTGGAGAAATCCAGCTGGTGGCAGAACCTGGGAAGGACACGGGGGTACAGGAGCATCCAGGGCATCTCAGGAGCGTCCCCAGCAGAGGGCAGAGCCGGGCTCGGTGCCCAGGCGCTCACCTGAAGCCGTAGTAGGTGTCGGGGTCGGCCAGCTCGGGGAAGCGGTGCTTGAGCTGGCTCTGCAGGGTCAGCGTCTCGTACCACATCTTGCTGTCGATGCGCAGGTCCCAGTGCTTGTTGACCACGATGAAGTCGGAGCTCTGGTACAGGATGGACAGGTTGTCGATGGTGCCCGGCTCCATGGCCAGCGCCCTGCGGGGCACAGAGAGCGAGGGGGAACCGGGATGAGGAACCGCCAGCTGCGGGATGGGCACAGCAGCCCCGGACACACGGGACGGGCAGGGCCCGGAGGTGGGATACCCCAGCAGGGAACGGACATGCACCGGCGCTGCCGAGGTCACCTGCAACCCCGCTGTCACCCTGCCTGTCCCCAGGCTCACCGGTGTCACACCGTCCGGGTGCAGGTCCCACGGCGGTGCGGACGCTACCGCAGCGCTCCGGTCGCCGCCATGCCGATGTCACAGCGCACGGCCCCGCCGCTGTCCCGCTGTCCCGGGCCGCCCCGGCGCCATGCACGGAAGGCCCATGCCCGCCCCACTGTCACGCGTGGAGGCCCCGCAGCCGCGCGGTGCTGCCTCTGCCCATCCCGGCGGCGGCCATCGGCCTCTCCCCGCTCCCCGCTGCAGCGAGCGCGGCGGCTCCGCCGGAGGGCACGGGGCAGAGGGGAGGGGACAGGGGACGCGGGGCGGGGACGCGCGCGACAGAGAGGACCCTGGACCGGGCCGAAGTGACCCGGGACGGGCGGAGGTGACCCGGACCCGGCTGGGGGGACCCGCGCAGCGCCGCCCCCGCCGCCCCGGCCCCGCCCGCTCCCGCAGCGCCTCCCGGCAGCGCTCACGTCGCGTCCAATCCGCGCCGCCCCCGCCGCGTCCTCCCGCGCGCCCCGCCCAATCAGCGCCGTCCTCGCCTCCGCCCGCGCCCAATCAGCGCCGGTCCCGCAGCGCGCGCGGGCGGAAGCGCGGCGGGCGCGGGGCCGGTGGCGGAGCGGGCGCGGCGCATGGCGAGCGCCGAGGATGGGCCCGAGGATTGGGCCGAGGACGGGCCCGACGATGGCTTCTACGAGCGCTTCGCCGACGAGCTGGAGGTGCTGGCCGAGCTGGGAGGTGGGCGCTGCTGCGGCTCTGGACGGAAGGCGGCGGAGGGAGGGAGCGGGCAGGACCGTGCTTTGCGCGCCCGTGTGTGCCCGTCCCGCCGCGGGTGCCCTCCGGTGACCGGCACCGTGGTGTGACCCCTCTTGCAGATGAGCCATCCCCACCCGCCGGCCCCAAAACGTCGCAGTTCCGGAGCAAGCGGCAGCCGCCGGAGCAGGCCGATCTCCCCGGGGACTCTCCCGGCGGCACCGGCGCCAAGAAGAGGGACCGGGACTGTGTCCCCGCCGTGTCCCCGGCAGCAGCCGAGCCCCTCAGTAGGTTTGACCCGGTTCCCCCGGTGCTGCTGCCCCTGCTCCCCGCCCCGAGCGGTGCCGGGTGCTGGAGCATCCCCTGGGTACCACCGTCCGTCAGTGAGTGATGCTCTCCTCCTGCTCCAGCCCCGAAGCCGAAGCGGCAGCGCCTGGAAGCTGTTAAGAAGCTCGATTTCGGTGCGGACGATGAGCTGGCTCCGGATGTCCCCTGGGATGGTGGCCCAGAGGCACCTCTGGCTCCCCACAACACCAGGTTGGCCACCCTGAACCCCATCTTTAACAGGAGAGAGGGGAAGGGCTCTTCCCCTGCTGAAGGAATTTGGTGTTTTCCAGCTCGAACCAGCTGGAGATGAGTGGAATGGTCCCCATGCAGACCACACCACCCTTGGAAAAGAAGAGGGTCCTGAGGAGACCCCCCATTCTGGAGGATTACATCAACGTGACATCCACCCAGGGCACCAGGGTCTTCCTGGTGCTGAGGGATGATCCCTGCAGGACAGGGCTGGAGGTGAGGAGGGATCTGAAGGTCGGCTTTGCTCCTCGGTGGCCTCCAGGTGGCTCAGGAGGGCGCTGGCTGTGCTGTGTCCCTGCAGCTCCCGGATTCCCTGGGCTGGAACGCTCGCAGGCCGCTCCACTTGCTGGGGGTGCCCTTCTCCTACCTGAAGGAGCAGGTGGCTGAGGAGGTACCACATGTCCCTGATCTTCCCTGTGTCCCTGCCACCCCTGCTGGCCACAGGGCTGGCTCCCAAATCCCTGTCCCCAGCCATGACCCCTCTCTGTGTTTGTGCTCAAGCGTCGCAGGCGGGTTCTGGAGGCCTCCCAGCAGCTGACAGAGATCATCAACAGGTGAGGTGCTGGCATGAAATCCCTCCCCAATCCCTGCCTTGCTGCTGGATTTGCCTCCCTCACAATCAGATTTTGGGAGACCTGCAAGCAGAGGGGCCTTTTTGCCCTCATCACCCCCAGCCTGGGGGGTCTGGGTGCAGTTCCCACCTGCCCTGACTGCTGGGGTGCTTTGGGGTGCATCAATTCCATGCTGCAGCTGCCTGGGGAGCGAGGCCAGCACCGAGAGCCCGGATCCCAGCATGGACACAGCCCCAGCAGCCCAGGAGGAGCCTGCATCCCACTGCCTCTGGGTGGACAAGTTCACCCCCCAGCGCTACATGGAGCTGCTCAGTGATGATGTGAGGTGCTGGGAAAAGGGGGGGCTTGGGATGGGATCATGCCCTGGGATCAGGAATTGCCTTTGGAAGCACTGGCTGGGGGCTGTGTCTGTGCTGCTCTGCTTGGGAGCTGTCCTGGGTCCCTGGGAGCTTGGAATGGCAGCTTTGCACTGGACACTGGGGATGTTCTGGTAGATAAACCTATGGAATGTCACCAAAATGAGACAAAAAAGAGTGAGAGGATTTTAGCCAGAAGTTGTTGGCTATTTTGAATTTTTGTGGGGAATGTTAGAAGTTTTGTAGGGAATTGGATGTGCTGGGAATTGCTGAGTTGAGCCAAGAGGGAGCATGGCCAGCAGGGATGGGACTGGTGTGACTCACCCAGGCTTTCCCTGAGGGATGGGGGCTGAGCTGGGAAGGGAAATGTCCCCGCCTTGTCCCAGGAAGATGCCAGGTGGAACCCTGAGCAGCCTCCTGCATGAAGGAGAGCTTTCCTCTGCCCCAGCTGGCTTTTCCCAGGTTCCATGGATTTTCCCTGCTTCCCTGCAGTACACCAACCGCTGCCTGCTCAAGTGGCTCAAGCTGTGGGACACGGTGGTGTTCGGCAAGGACAAGGCTGGCAAGAAGCCCAAGCCCACCCCTGCAGCCAATCCCCCCCTCAGCCACCCCAAGGAACATCCCAACAAGTGGAAAACCAAGGTGCAGCTCACCGAGGAGATGCTGGAGGCCGAGCTGGACCAGCACAAGAGACCCAAACACAAGGTGGGCAGGAGGGGACGTGGCTGTGGCTCCTTGTGCTGCCTCCAGCTGAGGAGTAGTGTTGTCCCCTCTGAGGAGGAAGCTCTTCAAGAGGTGACCTCCCCTCTGTGCCACAGGTGGCTCTGCTCTGTGGGCCCCCTGGCCTGGGCAAAACCACACTGGCCCACGTCATCGCCAGGCACGCGGGGTACAACGCCGTGGAGATGAATGCCAGGTGAGCCCTGGGTGCCAGGTGAGCCCCTGAGGGCCAGGTGAGCCCTGGGTGCCAGGTGAGCCCTGGGTGCCAGGTGAGCCCATGCCCTGACCACAAAAGAGGGCAGGTGATACTGGAGATAATGGTGGCCTGGGGGTGATGCTGGAAGTGATGCTGTTCTGGAAGTGATGGTGTCCCAGAGGTGGAGATGTTCTGTAGGTGATGATGTCCCAGGGGTCATGCTGGAGGTGATGGTGATGCTATTATGGAGGTGATGCTGTTCGGAAGGTGATGGTGCTGTGGAGGTTGTGCTGCTCTGGAGGTGCTGCTGTTTTGGAAGTGATGATGCTGTTGTGAAGGTGATGGTGTTGTGGAGGTGTTGCTGTTCTGGAGGTGATGCTGGAGGTGATGGTGATGCTATTATGGAGGTGGTGGTGCTCTGGAGGTGATGGTGTTCTGGATGTGATGGTGGCATGGAGGTGGTGCTGTTCTGGAGGTGATGGTGCTGTGGAAGTTGTGCTGCTCTGGAGATGATGATGCTGTTCTGAACGTGATGCTGGTGGTGATGCTGCTCTGGAAGCGATGGTGCTGTCCCAGGGGTGATGCTGTTCTGAGGTGATGCTGCCCCAGAGATGATGCCGGCCGTGTCCCCACACCCAAAGTCACCTGTCCCCGTGTCCCCTCGCAGCGATGACCGCAGCCCTGAGGTGTTCCAGACCAGGATTGAAGCTGCCACCCAGATGAGGTCGGTGCTGGGCTCCCACGAGAGGCCCAACTGCCTCATCATCGACGAGATCGACGGCGCGCCCGCGGTGAGCCCGGGGACCTGCACCAACACTGGGGCACCAGCCCCTCAAACACCACCCCATTAACAGCTCCCCCAGCGTTCCACAAGCAGGAACCCATCCCTCCCATCCCGTTTCCTTCCCCCAGGCCTCCATCAATGTCCTGCTGTCCATCATCCAGAGGAAGGACGGTGAGGGCGAGGCGGGCGCGGGGCGGCGGCGGCGACGCGAGGGGGGGCTCCTGCTCAGGCCCATCATCTGCATCTGCAATGACCAGTGAGTGTCACCTGCCCGGGGTGGGGACAGGGACACCAAACCGTCCCCCCAGACAGGAGGTGGCTGCTGGGGGTGTCTCTGTTTGAGTGCAGCTGCTCCAGTCCTGGGGTTGGTTTGGGCCCCTCACATTGAGGGGCTGGGCCATGTGCAGGGAAAGGAATGGAGCTGGGAAGGGGCTGGAGAATTCCTGAGAGAGCTGGGAAGGGGCTGGAGAATTCCTGAGGGGGCTGGGAAGGGACTGGAGAATTCCTGAGGGAGGTGGGAAAGGGGCTCAGCCTGGAGAAAAGGGGGATCAGGGGAAACCTTGTGGCTCTGCACAGCTCCTGACGGGAGGGGACAGCCGGGGGGTCGGGTTCTGCTCCAGGGAACAGGGACAGGAGGAGAAGGAACGGCCTCAGGGAAAGTTTAGATTGGATATTTGGGAAAATTCCTTCCTGGAAAGGGCAGTCAGGTGTTGGTTGGTCCTGCTCAGGGCAGAGGTGGAGTCCCTATCCCTGAGGGGATTTCAAAGCCGTGTGGATGTGGCACTTGGGGACATCATTTCACGGTGGCTTGGCAGTTCTGCGGGAGCAGTTGGACTCGACACTCTGGGAGGTCTTTCCCAACCTCAGTAATTCCAGGATTAAGAAGGAAATTCCCTGCTGGGCCCTCTCACCCCCCTGTTTCCCTCCCCAGGTTCGTGCCCGCGCTGCGCCCGCTGCGGCAGCAATCCTTCCTGCTCGGCTTCCCCCGCACCGCGCCCTCCCGCCTGGCCCAGCGCCTCAGCGAGGTCTGTGCTCCCCCAGGGCCCTGTCCCCGTGCCTCGGGGGTGTCCCCTGTCCCCCTGGCTCGCTGTCCCCTCCCCGCTGAGCCCCGTCTGTCCCCAGATCGCGCTCCGGCAGGGAATGCGCACGGACACGGGCGCGCTGCTGGCGCTCTGCGAGAAAACCGACAGCGACATCCGCTCCTGCATCAACACCCTGCAGGTGCTGGGGACGTGAGGATGGCCCTGGGGGACATGGGAAGAGCTCTGGGGACACTGCCAGGGACCTGGGGACATGGCAAAGGCCTTGGGAACACTGCCAGGGCCCTGGGGACATGGGGAGAGCTCTGGGGACACTGCCAGGGCCTTGAGGTCACTGGCAGGGCCTTGGGGACA